TTTTTGGTTGCAGCCATCATTGTTGTTTTGGCGGGCCTGGGCTGGATTTGAACCCGCCACCTTAGGTGTATGTGGCTGGCGCCTTAACGACTTGAACCACAGGCGCCAAGCCTTTTAGCACTATTCTTAGCTCACTTGTTAGAAAACAAAAACAAACAAAAATACTGGTGATGAACCAGACAGGGCCTGCAGGGTACATGCGGGGTACTACTATTTCAGAGTTATACTGTTTGGATTCAAATTCTGGCTTCCGCCTTTGTAGCTGTGTGATCCTGAACAATTCCGTCTCCTCCCTCTGCTCCAGGGTCTCAGAGGAACTTTATCCTTCACTTACAGGACCGGGACGTAGTCTCAGTGAGGAGCCTGAAGGTGCAGGGCGTTGTACACAGAGAGCTTCCCGACAGGCAGCTCCCTTTCTATCTAGATGTCTTTATTTACAGAGGCATCATGGGTCGTGAAAACATAAAATCTTTGAAGCCAGACAAACTTGAACCTAAATCAAAACCCCTGATTTCGAGCTTTATTACAACTGCTGAGATGTAACACTGGGCCTGCAATGTTAGCTGCACATCAGAACTGCTGTGAAAGCCTGGTGCATGCTGGATAGTGAATGTTTTTCAGAATCTGTGGCACAAAGAAGGTGTTTTAAAAGTTCTGGTTATTGTTGTTGTTTTTCCTTTTTGCCTTCACAAAATTAAAAAGGCTTAAAATTTAATAACAATAACAATGTTTACAATAAAGACTAGACACAAAAACCCGTAAAGAACAAACAAAGATAAATACATTCAGGAAAGAAATCAGACAATTGCTGCATCAAAATACTAAGCAATAATAATAATAATGCAAAGAAAGTAACATTCACATTGTCAGATAAGAGTATGTCTATTACAGAATGCTTTGACTCTGAGGTTCGTTATGGAGTCATCAGTTGACTTCTTATTATTTCTTTTTCAAAAGTCTCAAAAAATAGACAACTAATATTTATAAATAAAAGATAATTTAAAAAACAGATCATGCCAAATCTTATAGACAATAAAAAAAGAAGAAATGGTTCAAAATCATTCTACTTAATCAGGATACACCTGATATTAAAATTGGAGAAAATATATTATTATAAAAGGGAAATTACAAACATATTTCACTTACAAATGAAGCTGCACTATCCTAAACCACATATTAACTAGTTGAATTAAAAGTGATTTTGGGTCTTTTTTCTCCACATATGGATATCCACATGACCCAGCACTATTCCCTGCAGAGACCATCTGTCCTCACCCCACCCCACCCCACCCACTGAGCAGGGGCTTCACATGCAACAGGGCACTCTACCCAGAGTGGCAACTTGAGACTCTGTCTCAAAAACAAACAAACAAAAAAAAAAACACTGTCTTAATAAAGTATTAATAGCTTTATAAAAAGTCCCCAAACCTGGTAGTGTAAGTCCTTCAGTGTTGTTATTCTTTTTTTCTTTCTTTTTTTTTTTTGAGGCAGGGCCTCAAGCTGTCACCCTGAGTAGAGTGCTGTGGCATCTCAGCTCACAGCAACCTACAACTCATGAGCTCAAGCGAGTCTCCTGCCTACGCCTCTCAAATAGCTGGGACCACAGGCACCCACCACGCCTGGCTATTTTTTTTTGGTTGCAGCCATCATTGTTGTTTGGCCGGCCTGGACTGGATTCGAACCTGCCACCTTAGGTGTATGTGGCTGACGCCTTAGCGACTTGAGCCACAGGCACCAAGCCAGTGTTGTTATTCTTCAAGATTGTCTTGGCTCTTGTCAACTGTTTGTTTGTTTGTTTGTTTGTTTTTAAGACAGTCTCAGTACATCACCCTCAGTAGAGTGCTGTGGCATCATAGCTCACAACAACTTCAAACTCTTTGGGTTTAAGCGATTCTCTTGCCTCAGCCTCCCAAGTAGCTGGGACTACAGGTGCCTGCCACATTGCCCAGCTAATTCTTTTTATTTTTGGTTGCAGTTGCCATTGTTGCTTTAGCAGGCCCGGGCCAGGCTCGAACCCACCAGCTTTGGTGTATGTGGCCAGCGTCCTACTCACTGAGCTACAGGTGCTGAGCCAACTGTTTGTTTTTCATCTGAATGTTAGACTCAGTTTCTGGCTTTTTAAATCAAGATCAATTTGTGGACAGCTAAAAACTTTATAGTACCAAACTAAACCTTTCCACCTGTAAACATCATATATCCTTGTATTACTAATTATCATAGCTCTCTGGCATCCTTGCAGACCTCCACACACACCATGTCATCTTTGTATGAGAGCGTATCTCTTCCCTCCGCATCTTTAGTACCTTTTACTAATTTTTCTTGCCTTCTTGAAATGACTAGAGCCTCTGATATGATATTGAATAAAAGTGGTGATAGTATGCTTGCTTCAAACTCAAAAGGGAATTGATATCTTACAATGAAGTATGATGCTTTAACTTCTGTTTTTCTAGGAATTTGGGCATTTCTTCCGACCTTTCAAATTTATTGGCATTAAATTGCTCACAATATTCTCTTATGTAATAGAAACTATAGTGAGACATTCTTTTTTATTACTAATATCACTTATCTGAGAGTTTATCGATTTTGTTTTTAAAGAGCTTTTGTTATTCTTAATCCTCTCTGCTGAGTGTTTGCTCCACACTGTATTAACTACTGCTCTTGACCGGGCACGGTGGCTCGTGCCAGTAATCCTAGCACTCTGGGAGGCTGAGGGGAGTGGGTTGCCCTAAGCTCACAGGTTCAAGACCAGCCTAAGCAAGAATGAGACCCTGTCTCTAAAAAAATACCCAGGCATTGTGGTGGCACCTATAGTCCCAGCTACTTGGGAGGCTGAGGCAAGACAATCACTTGAGCCCAAGACTTGGAGGTTGCTTTGAGCTATGATTCCACGGCATTCTACCAAGGATGACAAAGTGAGACTCTGTCTAAAAAAAAAAAAAGGCAAAAATACTGCCTGTTCCTTACTATCTCCTACCTTCTACTATGTCTTGGTTTAATTGGCTGTTTTTTCATTTCTCACTTTGATTTTCAGTCTAATATTTGCACTTCGGGTTACTAATATCCCTCTATGCCCACCTTTACCTGCACTCTAAAGTTTTAATACGTTGTTTTCTTTTTAATCACTTCGAAGATTATTTTAAAGTTTTTGTTGTGGTTTCTATTTTGACACATGAATTATTTAGGTGTTGATGAATTTCTAACATTTCTGGGTTTTCCATTGTTGTGTTGTTCTTGAAACCAGTGTAATTCCTCGGTAGTCAAAGGGCATATTCTATGATTTCAACCCTTAAAATTGACCACGACTTCCTTTGTGGCCCAGTGTATCCCTTGCACTGATGAATATTCTATTTGCACTGGAAAGAATGTGTGTTCTGCTCTCGTGCTGTGTCTGTGTGCGTTTGTTAATGGCTAAAGGTCAAGTTTGTTAATGGCTAAAATTCTCCATTCTCTTACTGCTTTTTGTCTACTTATTTTATGAAAGGCACATTAAACCTCCTACTGGATTGGTGCACACACATTCAGAATTACTTTGTTTTTTATCTTTTTGCTGGGCTGACCCTTTGTTCATTATCTACAGGACAAAGTCATCTCTGGCAGTGTTGTCTAATGAGTCCTGTGTCTAGTAACCATGGTATTAGTATAGGAAAATTAGTGTCATTTGTGTCTTCCTTCAAGGGATACAAAGCCCTGCTCACTTTTTCCTTGGGTGCAGCTGCTCTCCCACGTGTGGTCACCTGCAGTGGTGCCACTGGCAGTGTCAAAGTGGGCTCATCTCTCTCTGCTCTCCATCCCCAGCCACAAACCACCAGGGCAGTGGTCAGCCCAGCCCTGCCACTGGCCCTTGGGCTGGTGGCCAGTCCCTTGGGAGCTCGTGTCCTGGTCGGCTTGACAACTTGCTTCTAGTCCTGTCCACTCCTATGATCTACAGCTTTCTACCTCCCTTGCCTCCATGGTGCTGGGTAGGAGTTGGGCCCTGGGAGAGACTCAGCCAGAATTGGTTGCAAGTCTTGTTTCCAGACTTCTCTGTTGATGTTCTCACCCTCTGAAGTGGGAGTGGCAGTAACTTCACCTCGTGGCTCATGCTCTGTTCTGTTCTCTCATAGTACGTCCACCACAGTCCTGGGAACTCCAAGCGAGGCTTCGGCATAGATTGCGCCATCCTCTCCTGCCAGGTCTACATCTCCCAGATCCTGGTGGCATCGGCCCTTGGAGGTGTGGTCGACGCTGTGGGGACTGTCCGCGTCATCCCTATGGTGGCCTCCGTGGGCTCTTTCCTGGGCTTCCTGACGGCCACGTTCTTGGTGATCTATCCTGAGGTGTCAGAGGAGGTCAAGGAAGAGCACAAAGTTCTGTCCTCCCAGCCGGCTGGCGAAGGCGGGGCTGACAGGGGCAGTGAGAAGCCCACTGTCCTGAAGCTCACGCGGAAAGAAGCCCCAAAAGGACTGGTGGAGACGGAGTCCATGGTCTGAGCTCGCTCCTATCAAGCACGTCCCTCCAGGCGAGAGGTGTGGAGGTCAGGCTGTGGGCGGGGCAGCTAGAGGAGAGGCCTCTGGAGCAGCCTGGGCAGCAGACAAGCGCAGCCCCCACCAGGCCCTCCAGGCACAGTCAATTTAGTAGTTGTAGGGTAGGTTCGCGCTATAGACAGAAATACCACACTCATTACTTTTTCAACAATTAAAAAATCATTTGAAATATTTTTTTAATTGAAAAAGATCTTTTAATTTCAACTCTGTCTTTATTCTGCAGGTATATTATTCTGCATGTTTTTAAAGTATAAGACATTTACAATATAGACAATAAGCAATTTAGAAAAAATAAGATTTTGCATTTCTGAAATTATAATTGAAAACAAAACACTGACGTCCTGTGCTGTAGCCTCTCTGAGTATTTCAGGTAATGGCAGTGTCGTCAGTGGCTGAGATATTTTTGTCACTTCCTCCAGATGCCTGCAGGTATTTGGACGTCTGTCGGGTCTCATCACATTGGTGATGTCGCAGCTATCGGAGAGCATTTTTATGATTATTTTAGGCAAACTTTTTTTTTTTTTCACAGTTGTGGTTTTCTTAGAAACACATCATCTCTTCTTTTCCTCAGAGTTTGACAAACTGTGCCCAGGGCAGCCCTGGCCTTGGGAGTGGCCACACACCAAAGCTGGGAGGAGGCTGGCCCGTGGAAGCCACGGGCAGGAGGCAGCAATTTGCAAGGGTGGGTTCCAGACCCTGCCCCAGTGGAGGGCTAGGCGAACGTGAACTCTCCGCTGGGGGCCTGTGGGCTCCTGTGCTGCATCCAGATGACCAGTTCACCCTGTCTGAAGTGCTCCCAGGAGGCCAGGCAGCCTCTCCAGACCCCTCCCATGTCGTGAGAGAGGGAGTGTTGTTGACTCTTCTGTTGCACTTTGTCTCCAAACCATTTTCCCGGGAATCCCAAGCACAGCGCTCTAGGCAGGTGCCGCCTCCCTCCCAAGTCCTGGCACAAGGCTACCTCAGGTGTATGTGGGGCAGCAGCCCCAGGATGGGGAGCATGTGGGTGCCCCAGGACCTCCTTCCCCTCCTCGAAAGGGCCCCACATGCTGGGACCTGTCGGAACTCTGTGACTTCCTCCCTGCCCACACTGTTGATGCTGGGATTGGGGCCAGTGGCGAGACAGGCAAGCATCTGTCTGAGATGGGGCAGGGCCCATCTCCCGGAGGGCTCCGCGAGGGATTTCTGGTTTCAGCAAATAAACAAAACTCGGGGAAGTACAGTCATCAAATGCTGCAGCTATCTGGAAAGGTTTTTATACCTAAGCAGTTTCTGCTCGTATTTCAAACGGTCAGTCTAAGCTTACTGGGATGAGAGGCCCCCTGCACACCCACAGATACAAAGTCAGACAGTTGTAATACTTTTGCTGCCTCAAGTTAATGTTTTTTAAATAAAGTACTTTGAAATGCATGAGAATCATGCTGCAATATTGATCTTTCTACAGCAAATACATATCTATATATCTATATATTTCAAGATGAAACTAAAGCAGTTTTTAAATAAATTACTTGAATTTTCTGTGTATTTAAAGGAATGACTGATCAATGTACTTGACGGGCTCTGGTCTTGCTGTGTCTCCTGCGGCCTCTGTCGGCTGGTGTGCTTTGTGTCTGAGCAGCACGGGTGCCTGGTGACGGGAGGTGTGTACTCACCAGTCCAAAGTGTGTCCCTCACAAACCCAAGATCACGGAGGACTGGTCAAGACTGCAAGAGTGTCTTCTGTGTGTATGAAACTTGAATGGCCTTGTGATCTCACACTTGGACAGGGCGAGTCTGACTACTGACTGCTGCTGCACTGCTGCCAACACACCACCAGCCAGAGCCCCAGCAGGGTGGTCCGAACTTGCCCCTGGGGTAACAGGCACCTCTGGGTCTTCACCTCTGCCAGCCTTCCCCTCGGGTATCAGGCACCTCTGGGGTCCTCACCCCTGCCAGGCATCCTTGGCAGCTCTTTCCTATGCAACTTGGTTCCCTTCCATGGCTTTAAAATTGTAGAATGTGAGATTTCACTGAGGTTGCCAGGACCTGGTCGTTTCTCACATCACAACTGGTTCTAACTGGGTTATCCTGACAACTAGAAGAGACAGGGGTGACCTGATTCAAGATGTGAACAAACCAAACCAAACCCCTGGGTCCAGCCAAGAGGCCCCAGGGGATAGCTGCAGCTCTCACAGAAGCAGGAGACGTGGGCCTGGCTGGGCCTTGATTTCAGGAGGCCAAGGGTCTTGGCAACCACCTTCTCAACAGCATGTCAGCCCTTGAGATCCCAGCCTTAAACTGACAGTCGTCTGAGAGACAACAAAGGACATGCCGTGTTCTCCGCTGGAACGTTAACATGCTGAGCCATGGTGCCAGCCAGCAAAGGGCCTGACTGCTATTCCAGGACAGAAGGGGTTTAAAGCTTGAAGCCCTCCAGATGTTTGCAACCAAAGTATTTTCTCACTGTGGGCCTGGTCAGTGCAGCCCCAGCAGGAGGGCAGAGGCCCGGGATTTCGCTCCACATATTGGTAGCACATTGTTTTCTGGAGCAGCCTTTCTGGGAGTCTCATGGTGTGAGTGTTGCTTGGGCAAAGGAAGAACCGGCAGCCAGATCCTTCTGCCTCAGCCCCTCCCTTGCAATGATATTATTTCAGGATTGCACTAATTTGAGCCTCGTAGTGTCATCACCTTGTGTCTTAAAAGCTGGGAAGGAGGCTGGCTGTGTGCAGTCTGCATGGGTCCTACCATGGCTCTTGCATTTGTGTCCTCTGCCATCATACCTCCGAGCCTACCCACGCCGTCCACCTATCTGCCACCTGGAAGGAGAGCGCCCTATGTGGGGGCCTTGGTCAAGGGCACTGGTGGGGCTGTGCGTGTTCCAGTCTGCCAAACAGCTGGCCAGCACTGAGGACACAGGTAGAGTTTACCTTGCGGGTCCTCAGGCTGGGGACGCCGCCCAGCACCACATAGCGTGTCAGGGCAGGGCTTTAGGGGGTTGGATCCTATGTGGTACTTGGGGTGTGTTGCCAGAATAGGGTAACCTTGGTCTGACTGGTGTTTTTGTTCCCTGTAAAAGTCAGTTAAGTCATCTTAACAAGGTTCCTCTTAACACGAGTAGCAGAAGTTCCATGTCAGAGATGAGAGTAGGAGTGAAGGCACAGAGGCTGCAGGCATCTGGCTGGCCCAGCTCATCTTTGCAGTGTTCTCCCCAACACTCCCTGGTGGCTGCAGAGCCAGTGGTGGAGGTTCTGTTTAACTCAGGCCCTTAACCTCCCTGTGGGAGGTGGGACAGCGGAGCCTCCTCAGATGCCTAGTGGCCCTGGTTGGAATGTGTCTGTGACCACTTAGGACCCAAAGCTGAGCCTCTCTTTAAGCGGCTGCAGAACATGGCACCGCGGCACACGGGAGTGGGCAGGAGTCAGGCTGACCACAGCAGTGCCAGCTCCTGCCATGGGGACAGCCCATCCCTGGAACCTGTGATATTGGGAGGGGGGGCATGTTGGAAAAATACTCTGAAGATGCCAGCCATGCCCTCTGTGGCTGATGGTCAGGGTAGCAGCGGGTGACGGTGACCTGGTGGGAACCAAGTTTGTTCACACTGGACACTACTAACTCCAGAACAGAGGCGCCAAAATCTCACTTTTCCAAGGTCTTTTGCTTCTACTAAGCCTCTGTCCATCATAAGGCACCAAAACTGTGAATGTGCAAGTTACTGTCGCTGATGAGTCCTCTTGGGACAGTTTTTCCAGTGACATCAGAAACTGCTTCTAGGAGACACCAGCCCCTTGCCTCCAAGCCCAGGTCTCTGCAGGCCTGTGTGAGGGGCCCTGGCTTCGAGAGCTTCTAGGGGGACTTCCCAGCATCTGCCTGGGAGAGGTGTCTGTGCATTTCCAGGTTGAACACGGCCTGTGCCTACTTGGCATGGTTGGCAGCTCAGCCTAACATCACTCATGTGAAGCCAGTCATCAGCATCCTGGCCAGATCCCCTCCACCCCAGCCCACAGGGCCTCCAAAAGACCTGAGCACCCCTCCCAGTGACTCTGCCCTCCACCCAGGGTGACAAGACCTGTTTGTTGGAAATGCCTCCTTACCAGAGCAACTCCCTAGGCCTCTTGGGACAAAATGATTTAGTTCCATTGTGAACTGGCTACAGGACAACTTTTTTATCAACTTATTAAGTTGGAGCACTGTAATAGCTCTTGCTGATTTTAGCAGTGACATAAGTGTGTGTTAAACACATAACACTAAGTTTTCTGAGGAGAAGGATCATGGGTGACAGTGCACGGGACTTAGCAGTGAGGTGGGCAGGTAGACTGGCCTGCCCTGCTGCCCTCACTACTCTGTCCTGCACGTGGTTCAGTCTGTTCAGCTCCCTGCCTTCCCTGTCTGTCCTCGGTGCCTCTGCCATTGACTCAATAAACTTTTCCCTCCAAGTGACAATGTGGGTGATTGTGTTGCTTCCCCGTAGGCCTGCCTCTGCTCTCGGCCAACCTAGAGGGGGAGGCAGAATGTGCCCTGGCTGTGGCCACGGCCTGCAGGTGGAGTGAGTGCCCCCATCACATACCCGGACCAATCCCCAGGACCCCCAGCATGGGCCTGCCCCAGCCCTCCAGGCTGCTCCCTCAACCCTGGTCCCTCTTCTGGTGCAGGCAGTGTCTCAGGCCTGGGCCCGCTGAAGGTCACCTGCCCCTTCTGGAAAGTTCCTAATTGTCCCTAGAGGGGACACCTGGGCTTGGGAATATGAGCCAGTGTGTACACTTGGCCAGAGGACTCTGGAGTCCTGGGGTGGTCAGGGATGGAGCCGGTCATCTTGGCCCTCAGATGCCCTGCAGAGGTCCATCCATCAGTTAGCAGTGGAGATGAAGGGCTTACACCCGCACGCCAACTTGCCCAAGGTCATACAGCTGGTGAGCTCTGAACCAGGATGGCAACAAGTTTGTTCGAAGCCACTCTGACCCTGTTCATTGTGGTGTGGAGGAAGGGTCGGGGCAGGGCACTGACTGCGCTGGGGAGGCCCCAGCACAGTGGGCTGGGGGACAGAAGGGTGGGCCCCTCAGTGGGCTGAGGCTGGGAAAAGGAAGCGACGCTTTGATGACAGTTGGGGGGTCACTGTGGTCCTGGCAAGGAAAGCCTGGAGCCCCCAGATCCCCCTACAGGCTGTAGCCCTGTTGTGGGGACTTAAGGGGCAGATGTGTTTCCATACTTGCAATGGGGGAGACCAGGCATCTGGGTGCAGCCCCTTTCCCTGTACAGAGACCAGGGACAGGTCCACCCTATAACTAGATAGACCCTTCCCTCTCAGATGGAGGGGGCAGCAAACTTAGTGGGGCGCTGCCATCACCTGCAGCCATGGAGATACCACCCCTGGGCCAGGGTGCTGAGCCCTGGTCCCTCAGGATCCCGCTCCTCACGGGCAGGATGGGTGAATGGGCACTGCTTGGGACCCCTCCCCAGGAGTGTGGGTTCTGTGCAAGAGCAGGGTGGTGGGAGGGGCACTTGTTTAGCTGCATCTCACCTAGAGGGTTGGTGGCCGGTGGTGCTGCCCTCCCCCAGGGCGCTTGCTGAGGACGTGACCCCACTTTAGGGACTCCTGGCCCTCCCTGGGGCAAGGAGCAGTCAGTGTGCAGACATTGGTGTCCCAAACCCAGTCCCAGCAGCACAGCCTTCTCATCTTTGTCTCCTCCAATACTAATATACAATTCTTTTTTTTTTTTTTTTTTTTGCAAAAGTTAAATTACTTTGTGGAGTTTTGCAAACTATAGTTTCTTTGTTGAGCAAAATATTTCGGGCATCTTTCCTTGTTCATACAGGACCAATTTAACAGCTGCCCCCTTAGCATGCAGAGTATGACTTTTTTTAATTTTGTGTTTTAATTGAGCTAAGTTTATACACAGCAAGAAGCAGGGGTATTGGCTGCAATCCCGTGTGATTGGACAAATGCACACTCCTGTGAACCAACGTCCAGCCCTCAGAGGAGAGCGCTTCCTTCACTCCAGAAAGGTCTCCTGTGGTCCAGCTCACTCCCACCCACACAGGCAACCCCTTGCTGACTCCACCAGCTATTAGTTGTGTCTGTTTTGATGGAAGCAGTTTGTAGTTTTCCTGCCTGGCTGGTTTATCCACCTGCTGCTTTTGAGGGTCACACAGCTGTGCACATTAGCAGTTCCCGTCTCACGGACATGTAGTGTCCTGTTGGAGTACACAGCATGTCCATTTTCTAGGTGACAGACACTGAGCATTTCCACTTTAGGGGGAAAAAGATGCTGTGAAGATTCCTATACAGGTCTCTTTATAGCCGTAGGTTTTCATTTCTCTTGGGTACGTGTGGAATTGCAGAGTTGTAGGGAGCCACAGGTCTGTAAGAAGCGGCCCGACAGCCTCCAACTGGTTTTTTTTAATCCAGCCAAATACGAGGTCTGTTTGCTCCGTGTCCTCGCCTATATTTACTTTGGGGAGTCTTTTTAACTTTAGCCATTCTGGTGAGCACTGAGTGATTTAATTTTGCATTTCTCTGATGAATAATGATGTTACACATCTTTTCAAACTGGCCATGCATATAGCTTTATTGGTAAAGTGGATTTGCCCACTTTTTAATTGAGCTACTCATCTTGTTAGTGATATATAGAAGTTCTTTTATATAATTTGGATAAAAAATATTTGTCAGATATAGTTTTTTTTAACCAGTCTCACTTTGTTGCTCTTGGTAGAGTGCTGTGATGTCACAGCTTGCAGCAGCCTCCAACTCTTAGGCTTGAGCTAGTCTCTTGCCTCAGCCTCCCAAGTAGCTGGGCCTTCAGGCGCCTGCCAAAATGCTGGGTCTTCATTTTGCTCAGGCTGGTCTCGAACTCCTGAGCTCAGGCAATCTGCCCTCCTTGGCCTCCCAGAGTACTAGGATTAAAGGCGTGCGCGCCCCAGTTCCAATATAGTATTACAAATATTTTTCCCAGTCTGGTTTCTCTTCATTTTCTTTTTTTTTTTTTTTTTTGAGACAGGGCCTCAAGCTATCCCCCTGGGTAGAGTGCTATGGCATCACAGCTGACAGCAACCTCCAATTCCTGGGCTCAAGCAAGTCTCCTGCCTCGGCCTCCCAAGTAGCTGGGACCACAGGCGCCTGCCACAACGCCCGGCTATTTTTTGGTTGCAGCCATTATTGTTGTATTTGGCGGGCCCGTGCTGGATTCGAACCCACCACCTTAGGTGTATGTGGCTGGTGCCTTAGCCGCTTGAGCCCCAGGCGCCGAGCCTCTTTTCATTTTCTTGATCATGTATTTTTGATGAAGTCAGTTTAGCGATTATTTCCTTTAATGTTCAGCATTTTTTGTGTTCTCTCTAAAAAAAAAAAAAAAGAAAAAAATTGTTCCAAGGTTGCAAAGATATACTTTTCTAGAACTTGTGGCTTTACATTGAGGTCTGTGAAGCTCCTTGAATTAGCTTTTGTGCAGTGAGATAAAGTTGGGTTTCCTCTCTGATAGAGTCAAATGGAGGGACCTGCCTAAATAGAATGTCCCACCAAGTAACGAGGGAATGGGCCCCACCCTGCCGACTCCTTAAATCCCCATCCCCCTTAACCCGCCTGCTGACTTCCTTCTCAAGCTCAGCTCACCCACACCCAGGTGGAATAAAGGCTGACGTTGCCCACACAGAACCTGGACTCGTCTTCATTTCACGTTTCGGAACAATCTTTTTCCAGTCTCTGACCTCTCACTCTGTCCCAGGCGTGTATCCAGCTGCTGCGGCACCCGTTTGTTGAGCACTCTCCTCACTGAACTGTCTCCTGATTTCTTGTTTCTGTGCTGTCACCTGTGTGCTTGTGCATCTGGACTGTCAATCTGCTGACCTACACTTACGCCAAATCCTTCAGTCTTAATTACTATAGCTTTTTAGTAAAGCTTTCTAAATCACATGATAGGAGTCCTCCAGCTGTGATCTTGTTAAAGGATGTCTTGACTATTCTACATATGTTATAATCAAATTCACAGTTTCTCTTTTAAAAATGAGTTTAGAATTTTGGGGCTGAATTGAATGTATCACATCAAATATTTAATCTTCCAGTCCTTAAATATGATTTAACTATTATTTAGGTCTTTCTAATTTTTTCTCAGCAATGGTTTTGAGTTTTCAGCGTACAAGTCTTTCACATCTTTCATTAAATTTATTTCTATTTGATTTTTTATGCTTTTTGTAAGTATTTTTAAATTTTCCAATTGTTAGAATATGGAAATCTAATGATTATTGTATACTAACCTTGTATGTAGCTACTTTACTAAATTTTCTTATTCTAGCTCTTTTTTTGTTTTGTTTTGAGACAGGGTCTCACTCTGTCACTGGCTAGAGTACAGTGGCATCATCACAGCTTACCGTAATCTCAAACTCCTGGGCGCAAGCAGTTGTCCCTCAGCTGCCCAAGTGGGACTATAGGCACCTATACCTCCTGACACTCATCTAATTTTTTCTATTTTTTGTAGAAAAGGTCTTGCTCTTACTCAGGCTGGTCTTACTCTAGTTTTAAAATAGATTCTTTAGGATTCATGTGAATAATCATGCTGTCTTCACATAAAGACAGTTTTTCTTCTACTCTAATCTTGATGCCTTTTTTTTTCTCATGGGTGTGGCTAGCAGGGGAGCCCAGAATGAGTTACTGTGTCCATAGGGGCCCAGGGTGTTGTTACAGCAGGTATGGCAGAGATGACAGTGACAAGCCAAGCCGGTCTGTCTGTGCATCTTGAGACCACAGGGACCACACCCAGCCCCTTTGTCCCCAGCTGAGGATTGGCCTGCCAGAGCACCTGAGCCTCCAGCCTTAGAGCTACCCTACCTCCTCCATCCATGAGGGATGGGACACACAGGGACAAGTCAGGCATGCTCAACCTGTCCAAGAATCCTCTATGCCTTTTAGTTTTCCTGCCTTATTGCCCTCATTAGAGACTTCAGGACAGTGTTGAGACAGGTGTGAAAGTGAACATCCTTACTTTGTTCCCAATCTTAGGGGAAAAGCAAATAATCTTTCCTCAGGTGTGACGTTTGTTGTGGATCTTTTGGAAACCCTCTTTATCAGTCTGAGGAAGCTCCCTTCTCAATTTCCCAAGATTTTTTTTTTTTTTTTTTGGCTGGGTCGGGTTTTGAACCCACCACCTCTGGCATATGGAG